GTGCATATTTGTTACATGGGAATTTGTTTTCCTTTTTGTTTTTCCTTCCAAAGTAGTTGGGGGTGGGAGATAAATAATTTATTATAAAAGAAATAAAACTTTAAAAAATGTTTAAAGAGCAAAAGGACCTATAAATAGAAAAATATTTATAGCAGCTCTCTTTCTAGTAGTCAAGAACTAGAAACCAAGCAGGTGTCCATCAACTAGGGAAAGGTTGAACAAATTATGGTACATGAATATAATGGAATAATATTATGTCATAAGAAATGATGAAAGGGAGTTTTGGTGAAACCTGAGAAGATCTGAACTGATGCAACATGAAATGGGCAAAACAATTTGTACAGTAACAATACCGTCAAAACTAGTGACTTTGAAAAGACTTAAGAACTCTGCCTCACACAATGTGGAACCATGACTCCAGAAAGCCAATGATGAAACACGCTGCCCATGCCCTGAGAGGTGATGGACTGAGGATGTGGAATTTGACATGCCTTGGCCAATGCAAGAATTTGCTTTGCTTTACTATGCATGTTTTTTTAAATAAGGTTTTATTGCTATTTTCTGTTTCTTACATCAGCAGTTATCCATCCATGTATCCCTACCCTCCCTATCCCAGAGATGATCCCATATGATAAATACTTTTTAAGAGAGGAAAAAGTCAGCACAACCGGATCAATACTTTGAAAAAAAATCTGAAAACTTGTGCAATGTCTAACACCTATGTATCTCCCACTTCCACAAGGGTAGGCTAAGGGTGTCTTCTCATATCTCATTTTAGTCCTGTTTGATCTTTTTAAAAAAAATTTATTCATTTGGAACTTAAATACAAAAAAAGTTTCCATTTACACAGCATGATACAAAGAGAGGATTCAAAATGAAACCATCAATCTCCATTTCACAGGTTACTTTTTTGAAAAACTATGTAATAAACACTACACATCATTTTCCAAGCAACACTGCTTTTCTGTGCTTCCTTCTGTTTTCTTTTGTTCTCTGCTGCATACTGTTCGATCTTTATAATTTTGTTGCATTCACTTTTGATTTTTTTGTTGTTCATTTTCTTTGTATTATCTATAATATCGTATATCTTATTTTCTTGGCTCTGCATGCTTCAATCTGCATTTCATGTAGATCTTTCCATGTTTCTCTATTCATTACATAAATCATTTCTTACTGCACAGTAATATTCTATTACATTCATGTACCACAATTTGGCCATTCCCCAACTGATGGGCATCTATTTTGTTTTCAAGTCTTAGCTATCACAAAGATTGCTGCTCTACATATTTTTGGAGTAAATGAGGCTTTTTCTTATTTTCCTTGGGGCATAAGCCCCGTAATGGAGTATCTGATCCAAAGGATATGGGCATTTTAGTCATTTTATTTGTTTTGGTTTTTTTAGGCAATTGGGGATAAGTGACTTGCCCAGGGTCACATAGCTAGTAAGTGTCAAAGGTTTGGTCTGAGGCCAGATTTGAACTCTGGTCCTCCTGACTTCAGGTCTGATGCTCTATCCACTGTGCCACCTAGCTGCCCCTAGTCATTTTATTTGCATTAATTCTAAAGTGCTTTCCAAAAATGGTTGTGCCATTCACAGCTCCACCAACAGCATATTAATGTGCCTATCTTTTCACAACTCCTTCAACATCAACTGTTGCCATTTTTACCCATTTGCAGAGTGTGAAGTGAAACCTCAGGGTTGTTTTGGTCCACATTTCTCATTAGTGATTTGTGACATTTTTTCAAGTGGTCATGAATATTTTGCAGTTCTTCCTTTGCATGTTTGTTAAAAGGGATTTTTCTTTTTTTCTTCTCAATTGGGGAGGTTGGGAAGGAGGGAAAAATCTTACTTTTGTTCACCAAAAAAAATTAAGGAAAAAAAAAAGCATGTTTGTATTTTTTTTTTAAAACTTGAAGTAGCACAAGGGTTGGCATACATTACAGATCCCCTGAGTGCCAAATATACTATATTTCACTACCCTATACCATTTCCTCTAAATTCTTCCACGTGGTCATTCATGCTTTGGAAGGGGTATATTTCAGATATTCCTTTGAATGATTTAAAGGTCATTCCAGGAACCTTTTTCTCCTATCAGTTGCCTTCTTCTCCTTGGCAGGTATCACTTATGAGCTATTACAGGTACACTTCAATTATGCTTCTCTTCACATTAACCCTATCATTCAGGCCATTGTACTACACCTGGTACAAGAATGCATGTTACCATCAGTTGAAGGCTTGAGGCTTTCACTCATGATTCTCATAGGAGCTTCCCAAAAGATGAAGCAATTTGTAGTAGTTCACAAAAATTATCAGTGACAGAGTTGGGATCTGATCCCAGGTTCTTTGACTTCAAGTTAATTGTTCTTTCCATTGCATCATCAAATTGGGGGACTGAGGGTTTTATATTCTAAAGAGGTATTGAGGATAACTGCTGTTTTTAAGAAGGAAAAATAAAAAATTAGAACTAAGTCACACATTAATCCCATGACCCTCCAATGTGTCACACCAGACAGTCCACACACATCTGGGTTTGAGTTGGCACTTAGCAGCTGCCCAACATCAAGCAATTTCTTCACACACCTTAAAAATGCTTAAGACGGAGAGAAGGGGAAGAACTGAATATAGCAGTCCACCCTCCACCCTAATCCATGGTTCTTCACCACCACCACACCGAAGTCTACAGGTGCTTGGTATAATGGCTGCGGATAAAAGCCCACTCCCCAATCTGAGAAATCACAAATGAAACCTAATCTGAAACTAGTTTTTACAATCCATTTAATGATGCCAAACAGGAAAGATTATGACAAAAATCACATTACACCCCCCAGTTAAGAACAACATCTTTTAGGTATGGTTCCATTAATGACCCAGTAATATCAAGTGTGGAAATAGTGTCGGCAAAAGCATACTCCAAGTTAAGCCAACCTTTCATCATTACGTACATTTCCTCTGTAGATACTACTTTTGCTTAGATTTTAGATGCACACAAGAAGAAACCAAGGAAGATAGTTAATAGCATCACACACTTAGAATTGTAAGAGAACACAAGAATAATCTAACCCTTTTCATTTTATACCTGAGGTCTCTGAGGCCCAGAGAGTGTCACTGACTTTCCTACGGTCCCCAGGATAGAAAGTAGCAGAGCTAGGATTTAAACCCAGTTCCTCTGATGCCAAATCCAGCTGTTTTTGTTCTATCCTGAAAACCAAAAATTGACTTTAAAAGGATTTGTGGTCTATTTTCCGGGGTGTGAGTATTTCAGGGTCATAATGGAAATGACGTTGATCCACCTCTATAGAGTCAAGTCCAACCATAACAACACCCTTTCCAAAGTTCTTCCTTTTAAGTGCTCTAGGAAAGCAACTTACTCAGGAATAGCTTCCTACTATATCCCACTGTTTTATAAACCCACAATCGATATCCCTTAGTCATTCTTTAAAATCTAAACAGTGAAAAACCTATTTAAGTTAAAAGGGATTCAACAGCTTGTGCCAAGAAGCATTCCACTTGCAATCAATCAAGTGCCTGGTAGTAGTGACAGATGCCATGAAATTCCAAAGCAATTATTTTGCTGAGGCTTCTAACATGGCAAGGGATACATCCCAGTTTAATGGATTCCCCAAAGGCCCTTTACAAGAAAATCAGTATCCTTTAGTGATATTTACCTATATTTGATTCACCTTTTTTGGGAGGAGGGAGAAAAGCCTCTTGCACTTTTTGGGTCAACTCGGCTCCTTATACAGACTTCATATACTGATACATCTTATTATTACAGAATATCTACTTAATCATCCAGTTCAGGGAAATACTCCCTAATGACCAAAGGGATCTTGGAGTTCTCTCTCCTCCAAAATTTTGGTGATGTGCACACAGGGGCATCTTATGCCTATTGTGAACTGGCTAGGGGACAGTTTTCAGCAGTAAGGTATCATTTTTTTGTCCACAGCTTTCCCCAGTTTATGCAACCTGCTACTATGTTTTGCTGCTCAAATATTATACTATGGAGGGAACATGGCTTATCAGATTCAGGAAAAAAGACTGTGACTATGGAATGTAGTTCAAATAAGTTACTCAAATTAGCTGGAATAAAATGGAAAAAAAAAAAAGACTCACTATGCCTAACTCAAAGGTTTATTTTAACAATGACTTGAGGTTACATAGTATTGTGCAAATAAGCACTTCATAAATTATTCAATAAACCTTAAAAGGCAGTGCTTCTTTAAAGCACTGCAATGTTTCTAAAAATTACCCCATTCAGAGGCAGCAGCATATCTGATATCACTTTTTTTTTAAAAGAGAAGTGAAGCTACAGGAGAATACATAATTAGTAAACAATCCCTCCCAACAAATGAAGTAATAAAACCATAAAGGAAGAAAGGCCTGAAGCAAAGTAACAATCAATACACATTAGAAATGTATTTTCATTTTTATTTCAAAACAACTTAAATTTTTAGACAAATGATTTTAGTATATAAATTTGATTGTTTTTTATACAGAATATAAAGATTTCCCTCATTAGTCTTCCATAGAAAGTGTTTTACAAGCCTGAAGGAAGATACTTTCTGCACACAAGTGTTTCTCTCACATGTGGGGTACTGGAAAACAACTGCCTAATGCTTCTACACATAAATTAGAACAGGTGACACTGCATATCAAAAAGAGCGTGAGAAACATTTTAGTCAATCATACACAAGAAGCAGATGTGACACGGAAAACTGCAAATTCCAGTAAGGCCAAGTCAGTAACTTTAGTCGGGACACAGCAGATAATAGAGGGAGATGAGTAGTGTGCACTGAATTAAAACAGCACTCAAGCTATTTTTTTAAAAGGTAGAAAGAGGGATTTTTGCTAAAGCAAATGAATTTGTTTTAACTGCCAAAACAAAGCAAAACTGAGCATCATAATGAGTGTTAGTATACTGGAGGCTTATTGGCCCGTTTCTGTGCAGCATGCTAAAATTAGCGAGAACCTCTTCACCAGTGCGTATGAATCACTAATATTCATGGTAATAATTTTGTTTATTTTTACATAGATTTTTTTACAGCATTCAGGCATGTCTGATTTTGGATGGAGTATAACTTTTATCTATTATTTCATCTTGTAAAAACATGTGAAGACAACGTTCATTCTGTGCCAACGGGTGGCCAGCAACCCTAGAAATAAGAATAAAAAGAGACTCAATTCACAGGATTTCACAAAAATGAGGAAGTTTGGGTTTACATAGACATCAATTTCTTCACATCAAAAAAGTGGCATCATTCAATACCTTCCCTTAAATCCAGAGAAAGTCTCCAGTGACAAAAAACTTCAGTGCATATATAGGAATCAATCAAGGCACATTTCTCTTTCCCTTTCTTCATTTAAAGTTGAGAAAATCTGCTAAAGCATCATCAACTATTATGACTACTAGGACTGCTATGACTACGATTACGACTACCACTACCACTACCACAGCAGACGAGATTTAAAGTGAGATGAGATCAAACAGGACTGTTCGGCTTCTGTAACATCTCTTACATGGTACTAAAAAATTCCCAGGGTTACAATGTCTTTCCCAGAAGGGCAACAAGTTCACAAAAGAGAACAACAATAACTGTGCCAAGAAACTGCAGAGACAGTTTTTGGGCTCCGTGCAACTCTCTTCTAGTTTTCTGGTTTCTTTTTTTTTTTTTTGTATCAAGTATATCCTAAAGTTACTAGCAATAATCCATCAAAACTCTCCAAATTCCTTAAACAACTGAATATATACGTTAACACAAGCATATTTCCCAAGACTCTTTTTTAAGGGAAGAAATGCTTACTATTAACAATAAGTCTAGGGAGCTTTTTATTAAGGCCAATGCACAATTATAGTCAGGCCTTTTTCCTTTCATAAATCTTCCTATTACCTTTGCTTTTAAAAGAGCTACAATTCAAACGGGAATGAAATACATGGCTAGAAATTTTGGCATGCAGTCTATTAAGGGTTTCTAAAGTAAAAGACCAAATTGAGACAAACAATCCTAAGTATTCTTACAGTTTCAAAAGAATACATTTTACCATGAAAATTAAAGAAAAACGTGCACCTTTACACAAGACATGCTGATAATACCTCCATCTGCAATCAAACAAAATGATTGCAAGTGCATTGTAAGTTTTATTGTTCATGATAGAACATACCTTAAATCAGAAAGATCCACACAAGTAAAACTGCATTTTTTTAAATGCTGTAATTTCAGTAGTAATTTGCATAAATTAACCAAGCAAAACAAATACAAAACTTAGGTCAACACAAAGATACTCATTTCAATCACTCAAGTGTGTTAATATTTAACATCATACATATCATTCAACTTGTTAGATACTTCTACATTTTTGAAGTTTAAACTATGCAAAAGTTACACAAGCTTAGAAATGGCTGTCAAGTCAAAAAGGAAATGCAATATTTTATACAATATGGTATTTGTACTGGTACTTGTAGCTGTAAAAAGAAAAAAACTGTATATGTTTACTACCATATCAGAAAAGGTTACCTGCACTTGCCTTAAAGGATAGTGAGTACTTACTTGTTTATAAATTGTTCAAGCCCTTGCTTCCTTTCCTCTATAAAAGAATCATCGAATATTCCATCATCTCCTCGAAAAGGAAGCTGACGCAGAAATGCTTTCCCAGGAAGGGGTGGGACTACAACCTGAAGAGGAAAAAGAAAAGAAAGATTAATTCATACTGATCTGAAGCTGAGAAGTGCTGATCCGTAGAGTATTTCATCCCAGGCTAGTGTGAGCCCTCATTGCAACATCACATCTTCTTAGCTAGGAAAACAATTGGGGAAAAGATTATTCACACTACATTCTGGAGGTGAACAATTAGAGAACCACTATTTAAGGAAATTCCAAATGTGAAAACCTCCTGTCCAAACTACCTACTGCCAAATGCCTGACTCATGCCAGGGTTGATTTTTTTTTAAGCTTAAAAAATTTTAGTGACTAGCAAAAGAAAAGTGTAATTGCCTGGAAGAATGGGAGAAAAATGCAAAAGAATGCTTCATCACCTACTACAGAGAAAAAGAGGAGGGAACAAAGCCTCGCAAAAGAGGAAATGCTATAAAAGGCAAAAGGTAACACAAGATGAGGATATCACAAGGTTAAGAAATTAAATTTGGATTATCCCTTGTCAAAAACATTTTCCTTACTTGGAATTTGAGATTTTAGAAAGAACATAGTAGTAGGAGGCCAAAGTTTCCCCTTAACAGTATCACTAATTCATAGGATGACCATAGGCAAGTCACCTCAGTTTTCTCATCTGTAACATGAGGTTCTAGGATCTGGAGTTTTCTATGAAAAATATACCAAAGCAAAAGAGAATGATCCTTAAGATAAGTGGAAGGTAAACAAAAGCGCTTCAAAGAATTAAAGTCCATGCTTTGAATTAAATCAAGAAAAAAAGTGCACATTTGTGTCTGCTGGACTGCTTAGCACAGGTGTGGTTAAATGCACTTTAACTTCTAGTGTCTTTCCAACTTCTTTCTGGTTATCTCCACTTGGAAAGAGCAGTTTGCTAAGGAAGGAAGATGAGTGTACTTTTAGACATCTAGAATTTGAGGTAATAGCGGGATATGCAACTAAGACCACTTTTAACATTGGAATTACCCCTCATCTTCGGCCAGGCTACAAACCACAGTGAGTTTTGTATTTGCCTACATATGCATTCGTTGTCTCCCCTGCTGGAATGTGAGCGGAGGGCAGAGATGATTTTGCTGTTATCTTTTTGGATCCTGAATGCTTAGCTAAGTGCTTGATAAATGTCTGAGTCAGCTTTGGATATGAAGATGAAGGAAGAGTCAACAGTAATAGATAGTTTTTATTTCCCTTTAAAATATGTCTCATATTTGCCCATAGCCTTCCATTCCCATTTCTTTCAGCCTAGCCCAAGCCCTCAAACTCTTACATCTAGATGGCTACATTTATCTCCCACTTTTCTCCTGTCCCTCTTCTATTCCATTCTGCATACTCTTATCAAACTAATCTGACCTAACATTAAATCTACTCTCCTGCTTTAGGAAACTACTACAGTTCTTTTCACCCACTGTATTAAAGTTCAAACACCTGTTTGATTTTCCAAGCCCTTGGTCAATCTTATTTTTTTGCTACTTTGTAAAATAAGCCCTCCATTCCAATAAAATCAGTCTCTGCCCTAGTTCCAGAGCACAACACATCCTCATTCTTACCTCCCTGCCTTTATTCATGCTGCTCTACCTTAAAGGAATGCAATGTCTATCACTCTGCAGGGTTGGTTCCTCAATGAAGCCTTCTTTAACTATTTGGGATCATGCTGATCTTTCTTCTCAACTAGACCTTAACCTGTATTTGCTGAACAAATTACCCTGGAGTCTATCCCATGCAGTTTTTAACATTCAATTGCTCTCATTCTTTCATATTATCAGTTTAGTCTCACCCAACTAGAATACAAGCATTTTGAGAGCAGGAACTGTTTTATGTTTTAGGATTGCTTCCTCCAAACCACAAAATTTGAGACTGTATTACCCCAAGTGAAAAATGACTGAACAACAACAAAAATTATGTACAAGGTGTCACCAAGGGTGCACTGATGATTCAAACACTACTCAATCTGTAGGAACTATATTTTAACAGACGAAAAAAGAAACATACCCAAACAACTAATACAATGTAGAACTATGATAGATATCATGAAAGGAGGGACAAATAACAAGTTCAGTGGCTTGGCAGTGGGTAAAAGTTTGGAATATTTAATGGTGAGTTTAAACATCTGAGCTGAGGTTGAGAAGACACAATTTCAATAAAAAGAGATGGAAGGTAGAGTACAGATAAGGGATAATAGGTAGGGGGAGACAGAAGGTGATGCTAAGAGTATTTCAGGCAAAGAAACGCATGTATTTTCATGCAGAGCTGAAGAAAAAAACTGTGGGTTATACTTAAGGAATGAAAGATAGTGCAGGTTGGTCACAGCATGGTAACATTTAGATCTAGACCTAAAAGGGACCTCCAAGGCCATTCAGTCCAAACCTCTTATTTCACAAGTGAGGAGACTGAGGCTCAAGGAGGTTCAGTAACCTGCCAAAGGTAACAACATTAGCAGTATCTGACACAGTATTTGAACCTGGATCTTCTGATTCCAGAGCAGTGGTCTTCTCCATAAAAGACTGGAAAGTTAAGTTGGCCCCACGTATTGGTACCTTGGATACCACATCAGGGGAGTAACACAGTCAAAGTTATGCTTTAGGAAGATTACGTAGTCAGTCAGTGAAATAAACTCGTGTTTATTAGGCACATATTATGTACCAATCACTGTGCTAGACACTAGGGAAACAAAGGTAAAAGATAATCCCTGCTCTCTCTCAAAGAGTTCTTTGTCTAACGGGGAGGACAACATGCAAACAACTATGTAAAAAAAGATACATCCATATAGAGGGATAGAGATATATATGTATGTATATACATATACGTGTATGCATGTATATAAAAATAAATTAGAGATGAATGCAGAGGGAAAGCACTAAGATTGAGGAGGACCAGGAAAAGCTTTTTACAGAAAGTGAAGCTTTAGCTGAGATTTGAAGGAGATCACGGAAGCCAAGAGGTGGTTATGAGGGAGGGTATTCTAGACATGAGGGACAGCCAGTGAAAACACACAAGAGTTGGGAAATGGAGTATCATGTACCAGAAAACAGCAAGCAAGCCAATGTACTTGGATCTCAGAGTACTTGCAGGGGAGTAAGTTGTAAAAAGGGTAGCAAGGGGCCAGGGAGCAACTAGAGTTTACTAAATGAGTAAGGGGGCTACAGGGTATTGCTGACCTGGTCAGATCTGTATTTTAAAGGAAAATCTCTTTGACAGCTGAGAGAAGGGCAGACTGCAGTGGGGAAGAAACTTGGGGCAGGGACACCAACCAGAAGGCTATTACAATAGTCCAGGTGTGAGGTGATAAGGGCCTGTACCAGAACGGTAGAAGTGTCAGAGGAGGCAAATATACAAGAAATGTTATGACAATAGAAACAACAGAATTTGACAGATGATTGGATGGGGGAAGGAGGGTGAGAGAGAATGAAGAGAGAGGATGACACCTAGGTTTCCAGCCTGAACGACGGTACCCTTGACAGGGAAAGACGGGGGTATCATGGGAAAGATAAATTCAGTTGTGAACATGTTGAATTTAAGATGTCTAAGGAACACTCCATTTTAAGATGTCTAACAGGCAGTTGGAGATGTGAATCTGGAGATCAGGAGACAGATTTGATAGATAGACCTGAAGATCATCTGCATAGATATGATAACTGAAACCATCAGAGCTGATGAGATCACCAAGTGAAAGAGTATAGAGGGAGAAGAAAAGAAAAGAAAGCCCAGGACAGAGCAGAGCCTTGGGGGACTCCTATGGTTACCAAGACGACATGAATGAAAATCTAGCAAAGGAGGCAGAGAAGGAGAAGTCAGACAAGAAGGATGGACAGGGGTCATGAAAACCTACAGAGAAGAGTTATCGAGGAAAAGAGGATGATCATTGGTATTTAAGGCTCCAAGAAAGAAATTAAAGAAAGACTGGGAAAAGGCCATCCTTTAGATTTGCATCATTAGGGACTTTGGAGAGAGCAGTTTCCATTAAATGATAAGGAAGCTAGACTGCAAAGAGTTGAGAGAGGAAAATAAGTGGAGGCTTCTACTGTAGGTGGCCTTCTCAAGAAGTTTAGACACAAAAGTGAGGAGAGATATAGGACTATAGCTAACTGGGAAAGATGGATCAAGTGACAGTTTTTTGGGGATGGCAGCAACAAAAGCATGTTTGTAAGCAGTAAGGAAGCAGCCAGTAGACAAAGAGCCATTGAAAATCAGTGAGAAAGTAAAACAGATAGAGAAAGCAATCCGCTGAAAAAGACAGAATGGAATGGGATCATTTGTGCACAGACGGGTTTGCCTTGTGAAGAAGTGCTACTTCTCCACGTTTGCACCTTCAAACAATGTAAAAGGTAGAAGAAGGGAGACTAGACTCAATTATGTAATATGTTAAAATTTATGAGGAGTTTTGCTAACAACCTTTTTTTTTTAATAAATATGAAAACTAAAGCTGGGAGGATATGAAACATTTCTTCAATGTCACAAAACTTATTACGTAGTAGAGCTGAGACTTGAACCCAGGTCCTCCCAATTCTAAACTTAGTGATCTTTCTACTACACCAACTAACATGTTAGAAAGCTATTCTAATTGTTCAAGTGAAAAGTGTTAAGATTCTGAACCAGGACCCACTAGGAAATGGGAAAGAAAAGGAGAGGAGAATCAAAGATGACTCTGAGGGTTTTAGCCTGGATGATTTCAAGGATGGTGGTAACATTAACAGAAATGGAGAAGATAATTAGGAAGATAATTAGGAAGATAACAAGGAAGATAATTAGGTTTTCTTTTGAGAGAGTGGGGAGAAGGCATGGAAGAAAACTAATTCAGTTTTGGACATGCTGAATTTGAAATGCTAGGAGAATGCAGATATCCATCAGGCAGTTGGAAATGAAGATCCATAGCTTAACTGAGAAGTCAAGATACAAATTTGAAAGTTATTCTCAGAAAATCTGCATTTACTAATTTTGTATACATTAGAAATAACAGATTCTTCAGCGGCTGATCAACGTGAAGTTGCTTCTAATTTTAGGGTACGGAATATTTTTAATACAGTCAAAGCACAGTTCAATATATAATTTGTTCAAGATTTAAGAGTCATATATTGTTGTCATGTGTATTCTTTTGTTTTGTTTTGTTTTGTGAGGGCAACTGGGGTTAAGTGACTTGCTCAGAGTCACACAGCTAGTGAGTGTTATGTGTCTGAGGCTGGATTTGAACTCTGGTCCTCCTGACTCCAGGGCCAGTGCTCTATCCACTGCACCACCTAGCTGCCCGTCATCTGCATTCTTAACTTGGCAAAAATTATCTTATAATCAGGTAAGTCGTAGCACAACACAGTCTTTGTTAAACTGATATTAAAGACCACCCAAAAGGACAACATAGAAGAACACAGTGGGCATGAACATGCTAAAAACATTACACCAAGAAACTGCTCAGGAAAAGCAATGTAGAAGGTATCATCAAAGAAACACATCATCAAAAAAGACAAACTAAAAGCCCAATGATAAAAACCAAATAGCCTGTCACAATGTCAGGGGAACACATGGTAGGTGGGAATAAGCACCCCTTAAGTGAACTAATAAGTGGGAGGGATATGTTTGGGTTGTGATCTGTAACAATGGTGGGAATATTCAAATCTGAGATTACAGATCCACTAGAAGACTAGAATTTAAGCAATACACATTTAAACTGAAAACTTTAAACTGAGGAGAAACTGAGGATTCTGGATGAAGCACTGGTATAGTAGTACATTAAAGTATCTGAGAAAATCATTACTTCCGTTTAGATATGGAAAGGTTTTTCCAATCCAAAGCCTTTGAAGGGCTTAAAAGGACAGAATAAGGACTATAAACAAGTTTATAGCCATGGCATAAGGTATATATGGTATAAAAGGAGAAAAAAAGACGATCACCTTAAAAGTTATTAGAATTAGACTTCCCACACTTCTCTGGGGGAGAAAACCAGGAACAACAATAGTGATGATGCCAGCAGCAGCTTAGGTTTACATAATGTATATGTGTGTGTATGTGTGTGTGTGTGTGTGTGTGTGTGTATGTGTGTGTGTGTGTGTGTATGTATATGCACCTAGAAATACCACTTTGTGAAAGGAATCAATATGTATGGGATGATTCAAAGACAGCCATGTCTCCCCCTAATTAGGCCCAGTATGCTGCGGATCTCATATATCTTTGTAGATATTACTGAATAAAAACAAAACCAAAGAACATTAAAAAAAAAAACCCAAATTCATCATTTAGTTCCTCATTTTCTATTAAGAAGCTGACACAAACTCAAAAACACAAAACAGAAATCAAGGCTATTTTTTCTGATAGTTTTAATATTTTAGTTTAAAAATACATTTTGCTGGGGCAGCTAGGTGGCGCAGTGGATAAAGCTCCAGCCTTGGAATCAGGAGGACCTGAGCTCAAATCCAGTCTCAGACACACAACGAGTATTAGCTGGGTGACCCTGGGCAAGTCACTTAACCCCAACTGCCTAGCAAAAAGTAAAAAACAAAAACAAAAACAAAAAACATTTTGCTTAGAGACAACATTATAAGAATGTTGCTCTACCCCAATTCTTACCTTGCTTTCTCTTTCTAATTCACTTCGAAGCCACTCAAAATCACTGTATCTTCTTCTCACAGAAGACTCCTTCAACTTGAAAATAGGAAGATTGGTCTGAAAGACAAAAAAAGTTAAAGGGTTTACATTATATTTTTTGAGGAAAACAAACTTTTTTTAAAAGAAGAAAAATATGTCTAGCTATCAAACCACTATAGTTGTATAAAGTGCCAGGTCAACTTGACTTAGGAAGGAAACTGTTAAATAGCCTAAAGAGACAGTATTTCATCTTTGAAAAGACAAAGAGTATAGATTTTGCATTAATTGTTAAAGGGAACATTATTTAAAGAGCATAAAGTCTAAACAACTAGAGACAAAAAGTCGTTCCTGTTCATGACTGTGGCTGGTCATGCTATATAATGTTTTACACATATCTTAAGTGCTTTCCTGCATTTCAGGAAGCAGTTAAATATCTCAAAAATAAGTATAGGAAGACAACAGCTGATTACAATCAATTTCTACTTACTACCTCAGCTAAGACTCTTATGTGCAACTAAAAAAATTTTTTTAAACAAAATTATTTTGTTTATATTACAAATATGACACTATATGTCTGATATAATAAAGGAAGATCTGAATAAAGCACTATTGTCTCTCCAATGTCACTAAAATAGTATGAAATAACAAGAAAATAAGTAAATTTATCTTCAGTCTTCCCTCTAGCAGGAAATTAAAGAAGCCATGCAAATTTGATCAGGTTCACAGATCCAGGCTCTCACAGGCTGTGGGCAAGTTAAGTGTTTTAAGTAAAACTGAAAACATGATCCCTAACACTCTGAGCTTACACAGGAATGTGAGAAAACATTTAGGGACTTATGTAGTCTTTGCAATCTCACACAGAAGCTTTTTACAACTTCTGACAGTTCAAATGAAAGCCTTTCAGGATCTTTTACCTTTTAAGAATGGAGATAATCTACTAGTTCCCTTCTCTTAGGGAAGATATAAATTAGAAACCAATGGATTGACGGTCATTTTTGATTTATGGAATATCAGTTATTTGCTATTTGACATTAATATTTTATTTTACAACAAAAAAATTTAATTTATCATTCTAGGAATTTTAATAAAGATTCAGAGGGGAGGAAAAATATTATGCTAGATTCAACCTAAAAAGGTCTGCTTTCTTTCTTTGGGCAAATATGAGACTAAGATCAAACAGATTTAATACTTTTAGAATGACAAGTTGTATTGAACATAGAAGATACAAATCAACTTTCACTTGAAGGACTTTAGAGATTTAAGTATGAAACAAAAGGCCAACCAAAACCAACAGGCATTAAAATCCAACTTGCTCCTAAAAGCCTAATAAAATTATAGTTATATGCTTAATAAAAATGCTGCTGGGAAGCCAGCATGTTGCTTGGTAAAAATAAAAGCTTTGTTCTCAGGACCTTAAACTCATTTTGTAGTGTTCTCAACTTTTTCCAACGTGTATTAGCTTCTACACTGTATACCTTACAGCTTGGAGCTCTACACAGATGCTGTTGTATATATTTCATGCATGAAACCAAATCTCACAAGAGGTTTAAAAGCACTTGAGTTTTCTTTCCCAGGTAACCACAACATTTGTTCATTGTATTAATGACTAAGAGCAAAATTGCACCTAACAAGACTCTTATTATGCTAAAAGTCAAGCTTATATTCAAAGATGCTGGCTTTCTGTACAGAGGAGTATTCTTATCCCCAATAGGGAATAAAATTAGGTCCCCCAGAGCGCAGGATGGTGATTCCCAGAAATAAAGCACTGGATTATTTCTCTCTAATTTCACCTATTGGCTTTTTAACTGAGTTCAACCTTCCGCATTAAAATATTAAGTCTTTGTAAGTGTCTAAAGACAGAAAGGCCTTTACAATACTGAGTGTTTTCTGCAGGTGAGATTTTACATTTTGAATTCCCTCCTCTCAAATTACCTTACAAAGGGGATTAACTGCTCTCTTTTATTCAATACCTTAAGATCAAGCCTGTGAAAAGAGTTCCCTAAGAATTTTCATACTTCTGGGCACGGAAGTCTATAAAGTTAATCTCTGAAACAACATATCAAGCTTACAGGTACAATGTTGGGGTAAGAGTGCCAATTCAGCTCATTTTACCTTCCATTTTCCCTTTTGAACTTTTGACACACAATCATGATTACATCTGACTCATTCTAATATGGGATTTTCACCATTTTGAGAGTTTGTAAGAAAGCTTCCCCTAAGATTTTCCTTTTTCCAAAAGAGCAAAATAAAAAACAGTCCATCACAAAGGCCAGTTTTCAAGTATCTTTAATAAAATTTTTCCCCTGCCTCAGTTTTTTCTCTTTCGCTACCCTCGCTACCCTAAGAGTGTTTAGATGTAACACCTCAAATTTCAGCAAGAATGAGTTACTTATCTACTACATTTCTATGAACCAACCAGATTTAAAGTGGTAAAATTTATTAGAAAACTAGAAGATAAACACAAAAGAACTACTGAAACCTTACCATTAAACTACCACATCTGATTACAGACTCTTGTGGTCACTCAATTATTTAGAATGCATTAGGAAAGAGGAAAATGCTCCAAACTACCTGTTTAGACTGAATATGAGATAGCATAGCATCACTAGCATTGCTAAACATTAACATGAGGCCCAAAAGTCTTCACACTTAAGAGTTCTCTTTTCCATTCCAAGAGTCCCCAATTTTTCTTAGGTTAATGGGGACTCCTAGAGAGTCATACTTTTGCCTCAGCATGGAATGGAAGTTACCCTGGTTGAATGATATGCCTGCAGAAGGTAAAATTTTGTCAAGTTTTACCATGTTGGAAAGAGCTCAAAGATGATACCAGTAACTGACTAGGTTAGCTTTCCAAGAACCAGCCTTGTCAAGTACGGAGAAGCTTTCCGGTAGTCTGGTCATAGAAGAACATGCAAGGTGCTCAGTCTTGGGCATCCCTTTTCCACTTCTGCAATGTTAGCAGAACGGGGGGGGGAGATGTGTAAAAGGTGCCAATAATGATATAGTTTTTAAAAGCAGCTATAAATATTAGCTACCAGTACTTAAAAGTGAGATCCTTATCCGATGACCAATGAAGGGTCATACTTTTTTTTTTGTTTGTTTTTTTGGTGAGGCAATTGGGGTTAAGTGACTTGCCCAGGATTACAATAGCTAGTAAGTGTCAAGTGTCTGAGGCTCGATTTGAACTCAGGTCCTCCTGACTCCAAGGCCACAGTGGACACACATTCTCGGAGAAAATGAAACTGGAAGAAAAAGGAAACTGTCAAATCTGGCCCCAGACCACACTTGACACTTACTAGCTGTGTGACCCTGGGCAAGTCACTTAACCCCAACTGCCTAAAAATAAAAAAAATTAAATTATGAAAAAAATTTTAAAAGGGGGCAGCTAGGTGGTGCAGTGGTTACATCACTGGTCCTGGAGTCAGGAGGACCTGAGTTCAAATCCAGTCTCAGACACATAACATTCACTAGCTGTGTGACTCTGGGCAAGTCACTTAAACCCAACTGCCTCACAGAAAAAAAAAAAAAAAGCTGCAGTTGAATGAAAAAATGATTCACAGCCTCACCTTAGAGGGACAAATAAAAGACTTGGTGAAATTGGTTTTATTGTGCACCCCAAAACAAGAAGAAACATCATGTTGTGGAATACCTTGGCCATCTTATCTTGCTTGCATTCCTCAAGACAGTTGTTGCTTGGGGCAGCTAGGTGGCGCAGTGGATAGAGCTCAGGCCTTGGAGTCAGGAGGAACTGAGTTTAAATCTGGCCTCAGAAACTTGACACCAACGCTGTGTGACTCTGGGCAAGTCACTTAACCCTGACTGCCTCACCAAAAAGCAAAAACAACAACAACAAAAGACAGTTGTTGCTTATCTGCTAACATCTGTTTCAGAAGATGAAGAGGTAGAAAAATTCTGAAGAACTTTGAATGATCACCCAAATTAAATTAACATAATTCAATACTTGGTGACTTCAACAGAAAGACAGGCAAGGGAAGATTCCAAAAAAGTATCGTGGAATACATGGTTTAGGTATAAGAGAAGATAAAGGGTTGTAGACTATAGATATACCCCATATCTACAAATCATTAACATTTTCTTTGAGGGGAAAAAGTCAGCAGAGAACATAGCAAACTCCAAATATGATCAATTTCTCTTTTTTTTTCAATGTTAACAGATAATAGCAGTCTTTATAAAGCCAGACCACTGTCTGTTAAGAACAAAGATTAAACAAACTATTGATGCAAAAAAAAAAAAGAAATGCATATATAAACAATTTGCAGAATATCATCATTTCCAAAGGAAATGTAACCAGTGGTACAGTGGATAACAACTAGTCTCAATGTGACCTTGAGCAAGTCATCTAATTCTTTAGTGCCCAAAGCAACTCTAGAAATACAAGTCAATGAATAAAAAATTGTTTCTTATGCAATGGATAGTGCTGGATTCGGTATTAGCAAGACCAGAGCTCAAATTCTGCCTGACGCCTACTTAGCTGTGACCCTGGACAAGTCACTTAAATCTGTCTCAATTTCCTTGTTTGTGAAACAGGGATAATAAAAGCATCTACCTCACAGAGCTGTTATGAGGATCAAATAAGATAACATATGCTTTGCAAATCCTATAGCATTATATAAATGCTAGTTATTATTACTGTTATTATTTTATGAGATCACAAATCTAAGGATATGATCCTAGTTCATGAAGCTGCTTTTCAACTTTATACTTTATATTCTTCCTAGGATAATCAAGGTTCCTCATGGAGCTTACAGTCTAAATAGGGAATAAGACATAAATATAAATTATATAATATATAGAATTCTAAGTATGTCAAGGAAGTGTAGAACAAAGCGCTGTGTGAGGTCTGAGGTGGGAAAAGTCATCACTGATAGAATAGCATTGCCCTGTTGAACTTATAGGCCATTTATTGTTAAACATAACTTTATTCACCATTAAAATTTAAAATCTTCCATTCTTTAATGTTAGCAATACAGTTTAGTGGATAGAATGATGGACTGAAGAGGCAGGAAAACTCAATTTCAAATCTTAGATTATGCTTACCAGCTTTGTGATTATGGGCA